CTTAGTGTGATGTCTGGTGGTCCACAAATTATTATTTAGCAGGAAAATTAATGAAAAGCAAAGAACACAATGGCCTTGAAGACATTTGGGCCAGGAGACTTTGTTCCCCTATGGAGGCAGGTGAAAGAGGCGGCTAACACATCCGTCTGATATGGCCAAGGGTAGCATGTGGGCCCTCTCAAGGGAAAAGATATGAAAGGGTCAGCCTTTCATCCAGGGTGTATTTAGTGACCACCACAACAGAAGGATCTGAGGAGTACCAGAAAGGTGCCTGAGATCCCACCTGAGGACTTTCCATTTTTTGGAACCTGTTCTCCTTTTCAATGCTACTTCTCTGTTCAAAACAGAATCTCAGGGTTGAAAGAGCTTTAGATTTTTAGCAGCTCTGGAGGATTATTATGATCACTGTATGACATTAGTGGGACCAGAGCTGCTAGTTCCTTTTCCCCTGACTGTTCGGTGGGGTTGGGAGAAGACCCAGTGTGAGGCCTAAGTTGACCTGCGGCCAGAGCGCTGAGCGGGCAGAGGACGAAAAGCTGATCTGGAGCACAGTTGGCCATTGTCCAGGAAGGTCAACGCATTCCCATTCCACACTCTCTTGCTGTCAGGGAAGGAAATTATCTCCACTTGGCAGGAGAGGAGATTGCCAAGGCTGCAGGAGCAGTGGGCCTCGGATGACCTTGGGTGACCCAGCTCTCAGAGCAGCTTTCTTTCCTCCATACCAACCTGCTCCAGGACCACCTTCATCCCCTCAGCAAAGTCAGCCTAGGGGTTGGACAGGTATAAAGAAGGATGCCAGGTACCGTCTGTTTTTTTTATGTTGTGCCAAGTGTTTGTTTTGTGCCAGGGCCTCTTGCTGGGAAGCCATGTTTTTTGGAAAGAACAAGGCAGAAGCAGGGAAGGAAGGATCAGGGCATGAGGGATTGAGGGCTTGCCAGGGCCAGCAGTGAGCCTCTGAAGGACTCCACATAAGGAGTGAAAGGACCAACTTTACGAAAATCCCAAAGGTCCCTTCCTGGAAAGGATGAGCCCGATAGATCAGAATAAGCTGCATCTTAGAAACATAATCTGCCTGTGAATTGATTGAGGTCTTCCTCTTCCTGTCCCGCTGCCAGGATCCCAGGGCGTTGTTATCCTGCATTGATTTTAGGTATATCACTGATGTCCTGACTGAGGAGGATGCCTATGGTGAGTCATGAGCGAGGAGTGGGCCTGGAAGCTTCCTGGTTTACTGAAATGTGTATGCAGCGGCCATAGGCCCTGTTGGATGGATGAAGGAGTGAGTGATGATTTTATTTTTTGCAGAAATACTGAAGAAAGGTCAAATTGGTAAAAAAGAAAGAGGTAGGTTATAAGGGAATTTCCTTCCTTGCTTGTTCTATCATTGTTCACTTTTGAGTGTCCCTGTCTTCTATGGGTACACATTATCCTCAGATGCACTGTGCCAACCTGAGTGACTCGGGGGATTAAGGCATGAGGATCACAAACTCTAGGCCAGCCAGATGTACTGTGCCTAGCAACTAAGGCCCCAATCAGAATTGTGGGTCTAGGTAAAGAAGCCACATAGGTATGACCTCTGGCTGCAGGGTTCACTTCAGCCACTGCTCACAGAAAGTTTGACTTTAGGGTTCTACTGTAGGTTAGGGGGACCCTTGGGGAGTAGGGCATTCGGAGAGGGTATATTGATCACCTGGAATTCACATCCCAATTGGCTAGACTTGTGGCAGGGT